ATTGAAACATAATTGATTATACACATTTGTGGGGTACAAGTTTGAATATTAATACCTGTGTTCAATATGTCAAATCAGGAAAATTAGTATACTCATGTTTACAAAATGTAATCAGTCTTTGTGGCCCTTGACCAACTTCTTGCTAACCCTCCACAAGACCACTTATATCAGATAATCCAGCCATTCCATTTGTTTTCTTTAGAGCCCTCTCTCCTGGACACTTCTATTCTCTCTGAGCTGTGCTCTCTGGGCTGGCTGTGGTGTTACCCTTGGACTTTGCCTGCTTAACTTTAGAATTGCCTTTACTATTCTCCTGGGATATATTCCTGTATGCTGGGTCTCATGCCTTCCTCTTTCTTGGTTTATTTTCTTGTGTTGGTGAAGTATCTTCTTCAGTAGTTTCTTTAGGTTAAAAAGCACGTATGGAAGAAAGCATTGTGAAAACAGACCTCAAAATGTCTGTCTCTTGAGTTGCCCTAGTCTGGACTGGTTAAGTTTTTAAACCTGTTGCACAGTGCTGGTCCTGAAGATTCCCTTTGCTTTTTCCCTGGGTTAAAGCATGTTCCCATATTTTTTTCTTTCTTGATTTATTCCCTCATTTGGGTGGATATATAGAATAGGTTCCTGAGAACAAATGCATAGAAAGAATATTTTTTGAGACTTTATTTTACCCTAACCCTTGGTAGATAATTTGACTGGAATAGGTTGGAAATAATTTTCTCCCAGAATTTTGAAGATGTTGTTCCATTGTCTTTTCTTTCTTGGTTTCTTTGATTTCTTTCTTTTTATTTTATCTACTGTCTATCTAATCTATCTTCACATAAGCATCTAATCTTTTTAGCTCACCCTCAAGGTGTTTCAAATCCATTTCTTCATTATCCTTTCAGCTATAACAGTTGAAAAACCTAAGTTCTCCTGTTCCCAGTCGCCCTTGCAGTAAGAGTGGCCATGTGCTTTAGTTCTGGACACTGAGACGTGAGCATAAACTTGCTAGGAGCTCTATAAAAGATTTTACTTTACCAGATATAAGAGCAAGCTATAAGAGTGACCTGATATAAAGGCTGGCACGGCTCCTCCTCCCTTCTTTCTTGAATGCAGACTGAGATGCAGAAGGCTGCTGAAGCCATCCTGTGACCATGAGGAGGGAAACCTGAGAAATCCCCAAGAGAATTTCAGAAATGCCAGCCCCACCATGATCAAACCACCAAACCAATGCTAGCTGCTTCCCTCACGACTACTTGTTATGTCACAAAAATTATCCAATATTTATTAAGCTCCTCTAACTGGTGTTTTCTGTTATGTTCATTTGGAAGCATTCCTAATGGATTCCACATACATACATACATGCATAAACAATTTTTTAGTGATTGTTGAAAGTTGAGTATTATGTTATATAATAATGCACTTAACATTGAAGGCAAAATGTAATTATTATTTTGAAGAAACTTGTAGTGAACATTTTATATGTTAAGCCAATAAAAGTCAAAAGACTTTCTGAAATTCATCCATGGTCAGCAACTAACCTGCATGGGTATGTTTCTTATTGTTTCTTGGTGTTCATTTTCTCATATATAAAACACGGGATTGCATAATTTCCCTGGTCCATTGCATATCTAAATTTCAAAGTTTGTTAGAACAAAACTTATTTTAAATCCACAGATTTATAGCTACAGAATGATATTTTAACATTTGTATTCTATGGACACGTTGAATGTGAAAGAAGCCATTGCAAATTTCCTGTTGGTGCTTAGGAATCTGTACATTCTACATTTAAAAAGTTGGGCTATGAGTTTGAGCCTTTTGATGTGCTATTTTAAAATCTAGTTTATTTAGCACTCTAAAAATCTAATTTATTTAGTTATTTACCTACTGAAATTAGCATAAATATAATATCTGAAAGCATCTTTTATGAAGAATTTTTCCCAACAAGTCTCTCTATAACTTCAGTAATTTCATTTCCTTTTATGAGCACAAAATAATTCCATTAATATGGAGATATGTCTGACTCACTACATGTTGCAGCCCTTTAGGAACATGACTGTACAATTGTATAAAATTGCCACACAGAAGTTTCACTGATAGTAAGAAAAATACTTTTCAAACTGCTCTCAGGAGGCATGAAACAAATAAAATGTTGCTACTCTGTTTAAAAGAATATAAGCGATCATGAATTTAAGAAAAAAATTGATCATAAACAACATTAATTTCAAGATCTATTATATTTTTACATCTCATCTTGCAATAATAAGGGACTATGTGTGCTGACCAAGTGCCGGTTGCTCCCACCAAACCTTTTTTTTGCCATGGTGTGTTGATGCTTAATTCTGATTAAAATTTGGTTGATGTTGGAAATTGAGATGTGCAAAGAAGCCATTACTGGAAACAGAAAATAAGTTGAACAGAATGGAGAGAATTGATACGCAACACAGAAATTTAACACCAGAAAATTTAAAAAAAAAAAAAAAAGGGAAGACAGTGTATGTGTATGCATGATGTGTGTGTACGCATAGGCAGACTTGTGGGGGTAATTAGGGAGAGAATGAAAATGCATCAGTGTAGAGGCTGTGTCCTTTTCATGAGATGAGAAAATTATTGCTGGATAATCACAATTACCTCTTGTTTTCCAGAGTAATGTGCAGCCCATAAACTGGAGAGCCTATCTGATACTTAAAAATGAGGGATTTTTGCTTTCTTCGGCACAACATAGCATCTCAGGGTGGTAGTTGAGTGCAAAATAAACCGAGATGCATTTTCTCTGCATGCTGGAAACAGTCATGCCTGTTGCCAAGGAAACATCCTCACTCGGCAAAGGTCACCTTTGGAAACAACTATAAGACTTCAAAAGCAGATCAATAGAGAAACACCAAGACCTGAACTTCCTAGCTAATGGTGTCTCCTATTTTAAATGTCACTTTTAACAGACACTAGCTTATATGATTGCTGTGTAGTGGGCAGCAGCAAGGCAAAATTGTCCGTGTAATAAGTCGAGCTCATAATTTTTCAAGCTCTGTTCTTGGAAGCCTGTGGTTTTTTGGTGGAGATGCTTTGAGTGGGGGAATGTGCGGGACTAGCAGCCTGGACATGAACTGACATCCAGGTTTAAAAAGAGAAGCTCCATTTAAGACCTCATTTGGAAAAAAAAGGTTCCACTTATTTAAAAAAAAATGTAATTCTTTATGCATAAAAGCATGCTTTCTTGTACTTTGTCTAAATTAGTGAGGTTTTTATTTTAATTTCTGAATATATTTTCTCATATATTTGGATTGTGCAGATTTTGTATCAATAAAGCATGATTTTATTTACTCATCATTCATTCATTCATTCATTCATTCTTTTATCAAACATTTATGATTTCATACTATGTGCCAGGTAATTCTCTGGGGATGAGAAGTGAATAGAACACATTTAAAGTCTGGGAGACTCAATCTGGAGAAGAAAGCAGATATGGAAACAAGAGAATCACTTGCACGTGAAACACAGTGAGGTGCTTGTAATTCTTCCTGGGGATGTGAGGAAATGCTTTCGGGTAGAGAAAATTCCTGGTCTTCGCCTTGAAGGGTGGGTAAGCATTGAGCAGGAAGTCAGTCCCGGAAGGGCATCCTAAGACACAGACAACAGCAAATGCAGAGTGCAGAGACGTGAAGAGCAGATGTCATTGGATTCTGTGGGCTCAAGTGCAGGAGGTATTTGGGGACGTGCTTGGAGATGAGGTCTAAAAAGAAAACTGGGCCTGGATCCTAAAAGTCCTTGTGTAGTATAAAAAATATATATACTTTACTGCTAGTTTTGCAGATTTTTTTTCTTGACTTAATGCTATAATAAATAGAGCTTTAACTAGCGTGGTATTATTTACTCCTTTCCCCTTTGACAATCTGTCATTAGTCACAAACACCTATGTGCTTTCAGATGGCTTAAGGAATTGAAATTTCTGTGGCTGTTTATAATCTCAAATAAGAATTGTGAAATCTAGTAATATACTCTCTTGCTATTAATACTCACAAAAATATTCAATTTGTTAAAAGATCAGTAATGAAATTTTATAGTAGGGGTTAGGACGATCTCCACGTTCAACATAACTGTAGAATGAGGTTGTCAGTATCAACCATTTCTGGAAATCACATTCCCCCCCCCCCTTTTTTTTTGGTCAGAAAATTCAGCTGATAAATGCAGACAGATCTTCTGTCTACCAAAATGTTAGGATTTTCACTGAAATGTCTCTTGTTAACTCTTCCTTTATAAGGGGCAAGAATGAAATTTTGTGTACGAGAAAATGTGGAGGCCGTCAGTGTTTGAGAGATGAAGATTTTGGCATCGTCTAGGTTAGCCACCTGTTCTAGCCTGTATTTGCTGAATAAATTAGATGCTCTTGGGGGAGTGTGTGCTGCTGACTGGTCTGCCTGTTACCAAGGCAACCATTTTTCTTCTGCTCTGTGACTCTGAAAAGGTTCACAACCCATTAGTGCTCTTCTGGGCAAGAAAATGAAAAAATTCCTTTCTTAAAAAAATTCCTGGTCAAGATGATGGGATTAGTTGCAATTAATAGAGACTCTTACCATATTTATTTATTCAGACATTTCATTTTCCAAGTGTTTGAAAAACTTAGGTCCAAACCTTAAAGGCATACAAATAACAGCTAAATGGAGGGGTCTGAGTGACAGCAAATAAAAAATGAAAAATATTTTCAATCTCAAATGTTTTCTTTTCTTCCTTTTTTAATTGAAGCATAACCGATTATGCATATTGTGGGGGTCCAGTGTTGACTGTGTACAATATGTGATGATCATATAAATTTTATTGGCATGTTTATTATGACAAATCATAATTATTCTTTGTGTCCCTTACCCAATTAATCTCAAATATTTAAAAAAATTGAAAATATTTATAAAGTGGAGTTTGTCTGAGGTACTATATGTAAAAACAGAGATTCTCTGAATTCAGTCTAAAAGGCAGTGAATGAAAAGCTATTTTTTCATAAATAATTATTCCAGCTGTTATCTCCATCAGGGTTTTCTCAGTCTGCAGAGACAATGGAACAGGAAAGGGCAACAATTTAGCAAAGGCTTTATCAGAGCCATCAAACCATAAGTTCAGGGCCTAAGTGCTCATTTTCTGAATACCCAAGGGCCCCGGGGAGTTGTGGAGAGATGACTGACCCCACTCTATGGTAACACCATCAGAAATCAATGCAGGTTTTCTTTCTCAAGTGACTTTCAGACTCCAGCATATCTTTCTACTTTGTAATCTATGTTTGTTGTTTTTTCTCGCCTCCTTTGTATGCTGTCTCTTTCTATTCCAAATCTTCATGCATTAAAAAAAATCAGTAGGCCTCTCAAACAGGTACAGTTCTCAGTTACCTTAAACCAGGAAGTTTTCATGTTATCCTATTTGCTTCATTCCTCATGTCAACTTGATAGGATATATATCATTTATCCCACTTTACAATTAAGTAAGCTGAGGCTCATGTGGATTCATAACTTGCCAAAGGTAGTGGGTTGGTATTCAGATTGAAGTTTAGCTCATTCAAAGCCGTTTTTTTTTTTTCACTATGCTATGGTGTCTCAAAAATTCTGTAATAATATTAAGGCGACATCCTTAATGTATCCTTTCTGAACATTGAAATATTGAGAAGAAAGACAAAAAAAATCAGATGGGATCTTGAAAGATTGAAATTAAGCCTCCAAGAGGGCTCTTGTTTTATTATTCTAACGATTTTTACAAGTAGAACACAACTCCAGGCTCTTCCAAATTCACTATAGTGCTAAAGCTTTTGTACATATTTATTATGGGGAATGGCATCATTGTACACAGCAATTCCTTTGACACTTCTTTTTATTATGTTTCTATAAATACTAAAGAAACCAATGAAAGTTGAGCCTTAAACTCCTGCCTTGTAACTGTCTTATTTGTTATTTGCAGCTGAGGGAGAATCTAGAACCTACAGATACACAGGGTAGGACTTCCAGGACCTCTGTGAGAGTTGGGCTCATGTCTTGATCATGCAGAAACCTCAGTGCAATTAGATTTACCCTCGTTTCTGATTTCCTGCTGATTTTAATTCTGCATTCTGAGCTGTCAAAGGTGGAACTGATGTTTTCAAATAAACAATTCTTTGGTAGATACAGAGACATATTAAGATGACTACACTGTAATAAACAGTTTTTAAAAAGTATAGTCCTCAGTGCCCAATAAAGAAGTGCAAATATTTTCCTTGGTGTTAAAGCAAAGGGGTCCTGTTTCTCTGCTAAGCACATTGTGATTGATCCCTGCCCTAAAGATTAACACTTCACTAAATGATCATAAATATGTAGGAGGAACACAAAGACATTATTCTCCTAGAACACAGGGATTTGGTAAAAGAAGAAAATGCATATTTCCATTTACTACAAGCAAGATGAGTTTGCTTTTTCCTTCCCATTTCCAGAATCAGTTTGATGTTTGAGAGTTATTTGGAAGAATATGGCAATTATTTGCCATCTGAAAAAGAATGTTATTTAAAAGCATTCTATTTGTGGTTATGAGAAACACCTTTATTTTTATATATTTGCTTTTGCCATTCTCTCCACAGTTATCTACACCAGAATCAGTTTGATGTTTGAGAGTTATTTGGAAGAATATGGCAATTATTTGCCATCTGAATAAGAATGTTATTTAAAAGCATTCTATTTGTGGTTATGAGAAACACCTTTATTTTTATATATTTGCTTTTGCCATTCTCTCCACAGTTATCTACATTAGATTAAAATACTACTTTTGCACTCCAAATAGTATGCTAATGCCCTAGTTTATTCAATGTGCTTTCAGGAAACATTTATGACCTCCCTGGTGCCAGGTACTCTGTTACATGCTGGGCACCCAGAGATGAACACCCAATCCCTCTTCTCTATGAAATTGGTCTTATAGGAGAGATCTATGAGGCAGCTGGTAGGCTCCATAGGTTAAGTGCTGTCATAGAGTCTAATGGACTTGTGGGTTGAGGAACCTGTTAGAAAATGTTTGCAAACAGAGATTCTTCCAGCACCTCCTCACACTCAACCTGAATCATGCTCAATGCCTTGTACTGCTGGCCATTGTCCCTGCCACTTGCTCTCCTGTTTTTCTCTCCTGTTTTCACCTCAGTCTTAGGATATGTCACAGAATGTATCTTCCAAGCTATAACCTTGGTTTATCTCAATTCTGCTTTTCCTCTCTGCCTATGTTGCATCGGTCAGTTTGGACAATGAATCCTGAGATGATTTCACTTTGTTATAATTTTATGACTGCTAGTTTCACTAGGATAATCCTGGCCCATTTCTTCCGGCATTGCATTTTAGTTACTTATCTGCTGGAATCCAAACTGTCAAACTGTTGACTTCTCCATTAACTCCAAGTGGTGGGGTGTATAGGGAACATTTCTTCCTAAGGGAGTCTTGGGCACAGAGTGCTTGTAAACATTCCTGCCCTCAGTCAAATGCCACTCCTCACAGGTGACTTTCCATCTCTGTTGAGTATTTCTGCAGCACCTATAATCAAGTTGCATGATGCCAATGAGAGGTCGCAACACAAACCAGGAGAGCAGCTAGCTTACAGTCCTGAGGATCAGCAGACACCTCCCATCAACACTGGAAATCAACACACTCCAGGGGTCAGGATTTATTTGGTGGTTGTTTTAAATCTAAGTTTTAAATAACCTCTTTTTTGCACAAAAGAAATCATATTAAACATATTGAGCTCCTACTTGCTTTGTTCCCAGATAATTTGGAGACATTTTAGCATACCAAATCACAAAGGAAATTTGCTGATGGATTCCGGGCAATTCAAACCAGACCTCCGGAAGGAAGGTAACCGAGACAGTTCTGGGGAGGTCAGAAGCAGCGGCTCGCTAGGGCATTGCCACAGTGTGCTTGACTCACACTGCCTTTGCCTCTGGTTGTCCCTGTTCTACATTCTAAATCCCCAAGTGAGGGAATTTGTTTCTAGCTTGGGTAACAAGTCTCTGCACTTGGCTCAATCACCCATGGCCAAAAAGACTAGTGGAACTGACACTGAGAGGGTCATTACAAGTGTTCAGCCACCCCAGCTTGCATTCTGCAGTTCTACTTGTTCTTTCCTCATTTACCTGAATGGACCAAGTTTCCAAATATAAGTAGCTTGCCAGCACTGATTCTTTATTTATTGTCTCATCTCTGAACTACTAGTCAAGGTGTCTTTTCTGGACCTTATTTCTTCTTTCTTTATGCTATTCTAACAATAAATTAACCTCTCCTATTTCTGCCTCTCCCTTTCTATTTCCTAATGGGTAATAATGATTTGCCATAAAATTCCATAAGGCT